AGAGGATTGCCTGAGCTCAGGGGTTTGAGACCAGCCTGGGCAACTTGGCAAGACCTCATTTCTACAATAAATAAAAAATTAGCTAGGTGTGGTAGCATGCCTGTAGTTCAGCTACTCAATAAATCAAAATAAAAAAATAAACCAGGCACAGCAGCACATGCCTGTAATTCCAGCCACTGGGAAGGCTGAGGCGGAAGGATCCCCTGAGCCCAACAGGTAAAGGCTGCAGTGGTCATCAGTGTGCCACTGCACTCCAGCCTGGGTGACAGAGTGAGATTCCAACTCAAAAAAAAAAGTTATCAGGCCAATCAAGACATATGCACAAGATAAATGCAGCCTGTGAGCCAGTGGTTCTTCTCTACTCTACGTCTCCACCCATGTCATCTCACCATTCCCCACTGCTCTATTTCCTTACTTGAGCACCAAAACTTAATCTCCTTCCATTTTCCATGGACCCCCTTCCACACACCCTCCACATATACCTAAGGTCATATTACACATTTTGCCATTCCAGGGACCTACGCCAAGTTCTGTAATGTTTCAGCGTTCCTGCATGTACTGTTCCTATTTTTATTCATTGAGTCAACAAATGTTCTACTGATCAGCCAAGCCATCCCAGCACTGCTCTTGGTGCTGGGAACATAACTTTAACATCAGAAGCAAAGTTCTGGCACTCACAGAGTTTTGTTTTGTTTTGTTTAGAAAGCAGGATTTATTGAGAGGATAGAGAAGCTCCTACAGCGGGAGGAGACCCAAAGGGATTGCCCCCATAGAGCTTACATTCAAGTTACAGAGATGATTAGTCAAATAATCACACAAAGAGACAAATGTGAAATGTGGTGAATTAGGAAGGAACTACGAAAGCAATTAACAAAGGGAGCCGCCGGGCTCAGTGCCTCAGCCTGTAATCCCGTGCTTTGGGAGGCTGAGGTGAGTGGATTGCCTGAGCCTGTGGGTTCGAGACCCGCCTGGGCAACTTGGAGAGACCTAATCTCTACAATAAATCAAAAAAATTAGCCGGGTGTGGCAGTGTGCGCCTGTAGTTCCAGCTACTTGGAAGGCTGAGGCGGAAGGATCGCCAGAGCCCAGCAGGTCAAGGCTGCGGTGGCCAGAAGCAGCCTCTGCACTCCAGTCTGGGTGACAGAGTGAGACTCCAACTCAACAACAAAAAACAAAGGGAGCCAAGTTGACCTGACCTAGGGGTTTGGGAAGGCTTCTCTGAAGAAGTGACATTTGACTACACTTGAAGGATGAGCAAGAATTACAACAGCTAAAGAAAAGAGGTGGAGCTAGGAGGGGCTAGATTTGGGGGAGGAGAGTAATGACTGGAGTTCTGGGCTAAGTAACCAGAATGTGTGCAGTCTAGAGGAGGCAGGAGTCTGACCTGTCTGAGGAACTGAAAAAGGCCAGAGTTACTGAACACCAGAACCATGGAGGAGGATGGCATGAGAAGAGGTAAGAAAGCCAGCTAGTGCTGAGTGCAATGGCACCTGAAGTTTCAACTACTTAGGAGGCTGAGGTGGGAGGATAGCTTGTAGACACCCAGACTGGAGTGCAGTGGCCGCTCCAGGCCACCGCAGCCTCGACCTGCTGGGCTCCGGCGATCCTTCCTCCTCAGCCTTCCCAGTAGCTGGAACTACAGGCGCGCGCTACCACGCCTGGCTAGTTTTTGATTTATTGTAGAGATGAGGTCTTGCCAAGTTGCCCGGACAGATCTCAACCCCGCGGGCTCAGGCAATCCACTCACCTCGGCCTCCCAAAGCGTGGGATTACAGGCTGAGCCACCAAGCCTGGCGATTTGCAATATTTATGAGGTAAACAACAGCAGGACTTGAGAATGGTCTGTACTGAGAGGCCGAGGTAAGTGGACTGCCTGAGCCCATGGGTTTGAGACCAGCCAGGGCAATTTAGCGAGACCTCACCTCTACTAGAAAACAAAACTTAGCCGGGTGCGGTAGTGCGGACCTATAGTTTAGCTATTTGGAAGACTGAGGTGGAAGGATTGCCTGAGCCCAGGAGGTTGATGCTGGAGTGGATCTGAGTGTGCCACTGCACTCCAACCTGGGCAATGGAGTGAGACCCCAACTCAAAAAAACAGAAAAGGAGAAAAAAAAGAATGGTTTATACATGTAAGGCAGAGTGGTAAGGCAGTGTAGGGAAGTCAGAACCATTTTTCGACTTCCAGCTTATGCAGTCAGTAAAGGGTGCTATTCCCTAAGATAAGGGCACCAAGGAGGAGCAAGTTGGTGGCGAAGGAAAAGGGCAGAGTGGGAGTTTATTTTGCAGCTATTTATTCAGTTAGTATACATTTCTAGAATGATGAATCTGTTCCAGCCTCTGTCTCTACAAAGACAGAAATGGTTCCTGCCCACAAGCAGCTCACTTTCTGGTTAGCAGAACAGGCAGCAAAAAGATGATTAGAATCCAAACATCACACAGGCTTCAGTGTCTGTGGATTCAAACAAAGCAACATGGACACTAATTATCCCGAATTCTGGTTCTTGCCCCTGCAAAGTCTCCTTCAAGTGCTTCTTCTGGCTGTCAGACAAAGCAGAAGAGCCACAGGCACTGGGCCCATCAGCCCTGCTTGGACATCCTCTGCCCCTACCCTCTGCCCCTACCAAAAGTGCCTACTGTGGGAATGCCTAGTGACCCCATGGGCAGGGCTGGGACTGTAACGAGGCAGGCAAAAGGGCAGGCCTAAAGTGAGCACCTCCTTAGGTTGTGCTGGCCCCGTGCTCCTCTCACCCTCACTGAAACAAGCCTGGAAGGAGGGACAGCTCCATGTTAGACCATCTGGGCTGGAGCAGCACTGCTAGTGCCTGTGGTGTGAGTTCCACTGGGGACTTGAGTTTGGGGGCCTCAGAGACATCCAAACAAGGATGTTGGGGATGTAATTGGCCTTCTGGATTTGGAACTCAGAAGTGGAGCTAGGGATCTAAATTCCAGCTCTGTGAATGTGGCAGAGGGAGTAGAGGCTCTGCTGAACTCCCAACATTTAAATGCCCTGTCTCCTCTCCATCTGGCCACTCCCTGAAGACCCAGTTCTCCTAACTCACCTCAGCAATTGGCCATCACTCCTTCCAGTACATTCCCACAGCACTCTGTGTCGTCCTCTATCACAACACTTTTCATGCCACACGGTAATTTGGTTCACTGTCTCCTTCACTAAACAGTGAGTTCCTGCAGAGCAGGGACTCTTATTTAATGTTGAATTTCTATCTGCCTGACACCTTCCCTCTTCCTCCACATATTTGGCACCAAGTAGGTACTTACATTGAACTACATTCTTGGAAAAGAAACTCTCCTGCCTAGGGCTTGAGCCCTTTCTCTCCTGGGAACTGGCTGCAGGGAAGGTAGGCAGGGCATCCAGATTCCCCATCCATGGAGATCACACCAGGCGTCTGCCAGGCAAACTTCAGTTCCTCCAGCCACTCCAATAGGGATTCCTGTGCAGGTGAAAGTGAAAGTCTTGGCTGGGCTCGGTGGCTCAGCCTGTAATCCCAGCACTTTGGGACACCAAGGCCAGTGGGTTGCCTGAGCCTGCGGGTTCGACACCCTCCTGGGTAACTTGGTGAGACTTCGTCTCTACAACAAATAAGTTAGCCAGGTGTGGTAGCGTGTGCCTGTAGTTCCGGCTACTTGGATGAGTGAGGCAGAAGGATTGGTGGTACCCAGTGGGTTGAAGCTGGAGGTGGCCATGAGTGTGCCACTGCACTCCAGCCTGAGTGACAGAGTGAGACTCCAACTCAAAAAAAAAGAAAGTGAAAGTCTGAAGTGACTCAATAAATAGGTAGTAATAATAACAATGGCTGCTATAGTTTATCAAGCACCCACTAATTGCCAGCCTCTGTGCCAAGTGCTTTACAGACACTGTCTCTGTTAACCCCAAAAGGCCTGAGATAGGCATTGTTATTTCTTCTGCTTATCAATAAGGAGGAAGCAGTTTGAGCAAGTGTGATGGTGAATTTTAGATGTCAATTTGACTGGATTAAGGAACACCTAGAGAACTGGTAAAGTACTATTTCTGGTTGTATCTGTGTGTTTTCAGAGGAGACTGGTCTGTGAGTTGGGGGACTGAGTGGTGCAGATCCAGCCTCAAAGTGGAAAGCTACCAATCCAATGGGCTGGGACCCCAGAGTGAACAAAAAAAGCAGAAGAAAAAGGATTTCCTCACTCCCTTCTGGAGCTGAGATTCTCTTCTTCTCCTGTCCTTGGACATCAGAACTCCAGGCTCTACAGTCTTTGGACTTGAGGACCTCCACCAGTGGCCCCTAGGTTCTCAGATCTTCAGTCTCTGAGAATGACACCATTGGCTTCTCTGGTTCTGAGGCTCTCAGATTTAGAATGAGCCACACTACTGGCGCTCCATGGTCTCCAGCTTGCAGAGGACCTGTAATGGGAATTCTCAGCCTCCATAAATGTGTGAGCCAAGTCCCCTAATAAATCCCCTCTCATATACCTGTATCTATCGATTTTTTATTCCATCTCTCTAAAGAACACTGACTAATGCAGCAAAGTTAAGTAATGTGCTCAATCACCCAGTGGGTAAGAGGCAGAGCCAACCTTACGCCACCTGACTCAATAAGCTCCCCCACTGCTGCTGCATCCTACACCTTAGACACTTGATTAAGGGAGGAAACAGGGTAGAAGAAACTTCGTCTTTTTGGTAACTTCCCCCCAAAAAACAAGTCTAGCTCTATTCAGTGAAAATGATGCAGATCAAAGAGTAGGGCTTTCATATCCACAGTCATCATAAAGCACCTAAAAATCTTCATTAGGCACTAAAGGGTATCATAATTATTACGTCTGCTAATAAGCTCTACAGTCAGGAAGTTTACAGTGGCATTTGTTAATGTTCACAACAAGACTTCAAGGTAGATTGTCATTATCCCACATTATAGAAGAAACTAAAGTTCAGAGAGGTTGTGGTTTTCCTAAAGACACACAGCGAGGACAAGGCATTGCTGGGTTTGAATCAGTCTGTCTCACTTCAAAGTCAGTCTTTTCACAAGACCATTCAGACGAACCTGGGGCAACATACTGGGGTCAACACAAAATAAACTCCAGACTTCTAGGTTTTCAGGGCATTAATTACTCCTTCCTGCCCCAGGTAGGAGCCCCCAAATGGAAGCCCACTGCATCACTTACCTGGCACATACACTGTAGCCGTAACAACTCAGTACCCTCGAAGATTACCATTAGGGTTCCCACCAGGAAGAAGCACTCACTTCCCTCTCATTCTACTATCAGAGAAAGGAAGTAAAGGTCTGGGGATTTTTTCCTTTTCTTTTCTTTTCTTTTGAGTCAGAGTCTCACTTTGTCACCCAGGCTGGAGTGCGATCCTTCCACCTCATCCTTCCAAGTAGCTGAAACTACAGGCGTGTGCTACCACGCCTGGCTTATTTTTTGATTTGTTGCAGAGACAAGGTCTCACCAAGTTTCCCAGGCTGGTCTCGAACCCCTGAGCTCAGGCAATCCTCTCACCTTGGCCTCCCAAAGTGCTGGGATCACAGGCTAGAGCCATCGCGCCCAGCCTTTGTTTTCCTTTTTGTATTTTTTTTCTTAATTGTACATAGCTAAGGTATACAACATTATGTTTCAATGTACATATGCAATGGCTGTTAGTTCTAGCCTAAAGTTCACAGACACCACTCTCCAGCTCCTTCTCAGACAAGTCTTTATCAAAGTTTTATTAGCCTTGGCTCAAGGTACCTCTGTTTGGGCATCTCATTACAGAGCAAGGACACTTGGGTCATTTGTAACACCACCACTCAAGCAGGATTTTCAAGGACAACAGTAGAAACGAGTTGCAGGGGAACTATAAATCCTTTCCTGCCCCTTTTCCCCTCCTCATGCAGTTGTTCTTTCAACTCACCTATTCCTTCAAGTCCGAAACGGAATTACTTCTGTTCCCTGAACACATCTCTCACATTCTCATCTTTGCTCATTTATTCCACTTCCTTTTGCCTGGAACTCATTCTCACCGGGTCAAAATCTATCTTCTGCTTTGAATTCCAGTAGTACTTAATTTTCAATTATATTTTGGAACTTGTCACATTTCATTCATTACAATTATTTTTTAAAATTGTTTTCCCTATTTGACTACCTGAGGACAAGAGTCACTTCTTGTGACCTCCAAGTAATGTACTGCACCAGACACTGGAGATTAAACATACATTTTTTTTTTTTTTTTTTTTGAATTGGAGTTTCACTTCAAAGCCCAGACTGGAGTGCAGTGGCCACTCCCGGCCACAGCAGCCTCCACCTGCTGGGGCTCCAGCGATCCTTCCACCTCAGCCTTCCGAGTAGCTGGAATTACCTACAACGCCCGGCTGATTTTTGATTTATTGTAAAGATGAGGTCTCGCCAAGTTGCCCAGGTGGGTCTCGAACCCACGGGCTCAGGCAATCCACTCACCTCGGCCTCCCAAAGCGCGGGATTACAGGCTGAGCCACCGAGCCCGGCCCGTACATATTTTTATGTAATGATATATTCTTTTTATATATTTCATAATTTATGGAGATATTTGTGTTTTGTTTTCTCTGCCGTGGGTCATTTGGTAAATTATCTCCACTATTCCCAAGAAGGGCTTTACATTCCCTAGTTGAAGGATTTTAAGTTTCAGATTCAAAAATCAACAGTTTCCAGACACCCAGAAGACAATTTCCAGAGACATTTTAGAAAAATGTAGGCTCATGAGAACCGATCCAGAAAGAAATAGAGATGGCAGTGCTTTAAATGGGAGAAGCAAAAATCTGTGGAGGAAGGGAAAGTTAGAGACGGCATTAGGTTTCTGATAGTTCATGGGACAGTAGAGACCTTAGGTTCTATTTGCATATGACACCCTTGGATATGGAGAATGCTGTGGGAGACTTGTTATCTTGGCCTTGCAAGCAGTAGCTGGGACCTCAGGGCCTTGCAAGCAGTAGCAAGTCTGGAATGACCCAGTGTGAAGGGCCCAACAGAGGCAGAACTAGCATTCACATCAGGAGCCATCCTAATGATGCAAACAACGCAGCCTGAGGTCCTGGCCTCTACCCCACATTTTTGCATAAGAAACACTTAAGTCAGCAGAAAGCAGTAGAATATGTAAAGTGAGCTAAAATACTGCTACTTCAAAGACTTCTCAGACCAACAACGTCTAGCGTTTTAGAACCTACTATACTGTAAACCTTGGGATAAGACTTCTTGGATTCCTTGCTGCCTGGAGCCCTGTTCTTCGCTAGACTTTAGGTCTCCAGTCTGAAGCTTCCCTTAGTTCAAGTAGCCTTCAGTCCTGCCACCGAGGCGTCCTTCTTCAATTTCTCCCTCTAGGTTTCCCTTCCCCATCTGCCCCACTCGACTCCGTCCCTCTCCCCTGGCCTTTCCCTCTTCCCCTTCCTGTTTAACAGGCAGTCTCTCTCTCTCTCTCTCCCCCTCCCTCCTGCCTACCTGCCCGTGTACCCCACGCAGCTCTCCTTTCATTTTCTTACTTGGGTGCCCGCGACCCCCAACCCATTGAGCACAGCCTCCCTCGTCGGCTTAGCCGTTGATGAGGGCGTGGACCCGCGAGTAACAGGTCTCCCGCCCCAGACTCCGCGGGCCCGCGCGCAGACAAAGACATTCCACAGCCCCCGCCCCCTCCGCGCACCCGGCCAGAAGGGGGAGGAGACACGTGTCCCGCTAGCGCCATGTCACGTGGAAAAGAAAACGAACGGAGCCAGCGGCAGCCTACGCATGCGCACCAAGCTGTGGCTGAGCGGCCGCGGAGGGAAAAGGAGAACGGGGAAGCGACTTCTTCGGGCGCTGCGACTGTGCGCAGGCGCCGTGGCCCGACTGGGGACTTTGTTCTCCGCGGAGAAACCCAAGGGCGGTGCCGGTGGCTGGCTGCGCACGCGCGGCGCCTCACTTCCGGTGATCTCTCTCGCTGGGTCGCTCGGGTCGGCTTCGGTCGCTGTCGCTCTCGCTCTCCCACCCCCGCCAACCGCCGCTCGGGCCTCTGTCGCCGCCGCGTCGCTTTCTCGCTCCCTCGATCGCACATCCTCCCCGATGCAGCGCCGGGACGACCCCGCCGCGCGCATGAGCCGGTCCTCGGGCCGCAGCGGCTCCATGGACCCCTCAGGTGCCCACCCCTCGGTGCGTCAGACGCCGTCTCGGCAGCCACCGCTGCCTCACCGGTCCCG